AGTTTACGAAACTTGATTTCCATAGTAAAGGAGAAAAAGAAAACCATAGTAAAGGATACCCGAAGTGCTGTCAGGTCGCCTCCGATTGAATGACCAACCAGTATAGCATCAGGGGGCAAAATTGTATGCAGCAAAGCTTGAATATCTTCTAAGCGAGTATCTATTGGTTGAATAGCTTCACGAGTTATGCCAGAAAATCTAAAAGGAAAAACAAAACAATGGGGAAATAATGGTATTAATGAAAATCCCAATTCCTTACCCATTATGATCGGTTTGTGAATCAGCCAAAGTAATTAATGCTAATTCTACCCATTTGGTGAGCTGCTGGAACATATTCTACCTCCGAAGGGTATACACATGCGTCAGGCAGACGAAATCCTATAAGCTAGCTGAGTAAAGACTATTTTCAAGCTTTCATATAATGACCACTCTTTGAATTTATACAATAGACTCACAAAGATAATCTTAAAAACCATTTATTTGCATAAGTTCCTTATGAGTCAAACGCACCAATTCCGATAGTGATATTTTGCGTAAGCTTTTTATTTCTTGATAATGTGCCAACCAGGTAGCCAAATTTATTTATTTATTTAGCTCATAGCCTAGATATATTGAAAATGAAAAGCTTTATTCACTCCAAAGTATCTGCAATTCAAAGGCTCTGGAGCCATGGATCGTCACAAACTCCAGGTATAAACCAGCTTGAAGGCTCATATATTATCATGTATGATGTTGGATGGGCCTACTGAGTATTTTAAGGAACAAATACCTATTTAAATGTTTGGCCATAGCGATCTATGTATAATTGAGCAGCATATATTGATATTTTAGATGACTCGTATAGGAATGCCAAAATTATCAAACTTACGGATAATCCATTAGTATTTTTGAAAATATTAACTAAAACTTATATATTTACCTGGTCAAATAGTCTTTTATGGGATTCCTAGGCTTCACGAGTTTGTCTAAAATGACATCGCCAAGTTCGGTTACTATAGTTACTCTAGCAAGTTCACTTCCTTTCTCAGTAAGCACCATTTCACAGTCTATGGCTAACAAGGGACTGTTTTCATTAGGAGGTTCGTAATGAGGCTAAAAAATAAACCAAATAATTAGATATTGATAAGCAAATATAATATTAATACTTCAAAGCTAAATGAAGCAATTCTCTAAAAGAAGTAGTTTCCAGTTTATTGGCCTTAGACCCAACTATGGATGCATTAAGAATTTAGCTTACTAGGCTTGGAATAAAGTCCTCCCATTCCTGATAACTGTTTCTGGTTTCGAATTTCGTGTTGCCTGCCTTTGATAAATTCTCAGGAATACTAACATGATTCACATCAGCGTTTTCCACTGTGTCTTGTTCTGCAGGAGATGAATGAGGGTGAGTAGGATGAGGCACAGATTCTGACTTCATTTGAGAAGAACTCAGTAAAAGTAACCTTCTGTCAAAGACATCAGGAGAAAGAGGAAGAGGTAGAGAAAAAGGAGACCAAGTTAGCCTCGCTCGTTTGGGTGGAGGATCATCCTGAAGAGAAAAAGTAAGCATATGTAGACCAATACAAAAAAGAAAATGATGAAATCTATCAAGCACCTGTTTATGTTTAAAATTTGATTGAGAAGAGATCTGTTCGCTTGAAGAAGTATGGTCTGTCGGTTTTATATTCAATAATTTTGAAAGTGTTAAGCCTTCAGGTTTATACTTTTTTTTCACAGCGGGAGAATTTATAGGCTGATGCATGGCTAAAAAGTTTAGTACATACGACCGTTAGGTAAATTTAAAAGAATGGTTCTAATCAAAGTAAGTTTACACACAAGCATTCTTGACAGCTGATGCGTTAAGATGACAGGCCGGAACTAGATCTATTTCGCTTTCCCATGATGAAGAATATACTTCGGGACGGACAATATCGATGCGCTAAAAATAATAACCGCGAATAAAAATTACGCTTTTGAAAATGCCAATATCCGTTAAGGTCTTTGTAAGTTCACCGCTAGTTATTCCTCCAGCCAAGCCACCGACATTTACTATCACCACACTAGTGTAAAAAGAAGGCTTGTGAACACTACACCAACTGATTATGGTTGGAAATTAAAGCAAAACCACCTCGGTCTAATAATATAATATTGAGTAAAAAAGGAAAGTCCAATGAGTTTTTGTATCTCTATTGGATACAATGGATTATTAGGGGATAGCAATTCACGCTTAATGACAAAAGTGGGAATTTTCTGGAAAATATTAAACTAAATCATCTAACTTTTTTTGGAATGTCTTTGGTGCTCTGGGACGGGAGAGGCTTGGAAGGCTGGCAAATCATATGGAGGGTCATGTGCGTAATCAATGGATGCGGGGGACCTGACACTAGGTGTGAAAAACATATATAAAAATATAAATTACTTAGGAATTTATTTAGTAACCAATCATGACCTATTAATTTTACAAGCTTTAGCAAAAGGGTATATTGGCTAAACTACTTGATCGACTAACTACGATTCGTTTGGAAAAGTTCTATTTATATATTAAGAAAAGTGGAGTTTTATAGAATCCATTATACTTGGATCTAACACAAATTTTACCTTATTTACATTATCAGAAGCAATATGAGTCTTGCCTTTCAACTGTGACTCAAGTTATTCGAAGAAATCCTTGGGGAATAGTCCTGAGACCCCTCTTAAACCTACCTGTGCTAGTTCCTTTCAGGTAATAGACACAATCAGAATAGTAACCGGTCATTTGCGAAAAATTACTAGTACGCTAGACTAAGATGTGTTTCAGTTTGCATTTATACTTGCTTATTATACGTAATTTTTCGATCTAAATATGCCATATCGTGATTTAGTTGGCTATTTTGTTGTTAACTTAGATGTTTGCATATAAGCAAAGCTACTGCACGAAGAAGATATGAATGAATGACCAAGAGTTTGTCCTAAAATAAATAAGTTATAATTATATTCAATATCAACTATGTGTATTAAATGTGTATGTGTGCTTGAAATTATAGCAAATAAGGTATGTAATTTTTAGAGCCCTAGGTAGATTCAAAGTTAATTAGATCTAGTTTCTCTGTATTAGTTCTTCAGTTTCCTCAAATTTTCACTTTAAAACTATCAAGTAGCCATAATTATTTATTACTCAAACGAATACACTAATTATTTCTACTTAAAACTTTGCCTGTTTACTCTATTTCAATGAAGCTATTTTTGCACCTAGATATAAAGCTCCTATTTCATGCAAACCGTTGTCTTTGGATTAGTTATTATGTTTTTATGCTTTTTTGTATGAGTTTACTCAGTTT